TCAGTGTGACTTTTCTGCTCAGTGTGTTAGCAGTTCTTCCCTTCTCCTGTGTCTCCAGTGCTGTCCTAGGAAGCACCGACTTATTCATGGCCATTTCAAGTGGTCCTTCAACAGAATTCTTAGGGCACGGTGAAATGAAGCCTGAAGCCTGATTCAGAAAACGTAGGTTTGAGTAGTACTTTGTTGAGTGTGGGCGAGCCTTGGGGCTTTGGAGGTGGACTCCATGGTAAAGCCATGTGTCTGCTGCTTTTCACTGTCTCAGTTTGCAGAGAGCGTTCGTAAGTGGACACCACAATTGCCTAATATTTAATTTTCAGATGTTCAAATTAACTTTGGTACTCTGTTATATTGAGTTTACACTTAATGTTTATATTTGAACTCTTAATTTTCCTTGGTAAAACCAAAACCAAACTCACTGCTGTCGAGTCAGATCTGCCTCATAGCAACCCCTCCTTGGGTTTCCAAGGCACTATAAGGCACTATCACAGCCCAATCTTCCTTCCAAGGAGTGGCTGGTGGTTTAAATCCACCAGCCTTCTGTTTAGGCAGTCAAATGCCTCAGGCACTATGGTACCAGAGCTCCTTGGTAAAAGAGGCAAAATCAGGAGGAGAAAGCAGGGGAATAGGATTAAGAAAGGAACCGTGGAACTGAAAGCATTATCTAACAAATATCTTTTCAAATTTCTTGCTTTGGTGAGATAATTTGGTCTGCATGAACAAACACTCTCACAGCTCTCATTATAAGTAGTGTAAAAGAGACCTATTGCATTTACTGGAGTGCAGCATTTGGCTCCATTTGCAATGCTTCAGTTAATGGGGTTAGAGTTTTTGCAGCCATTAGGCTTCAATGAGATTTTACAGCATAGACGTCAAGTGCATCTCTTTAGCATAGTTAACAGGGTGAAACAGAAACACAAGGCAGTTCAGAACTTGATCGTCCGTGAGTCTGCTGCTAACCACAGAGACCTGCAGAACTGGGTCTGGCTATGCTCTGGTGGTGCTCATTTCTGTGGTGACTCTTACACAGTGGACAGGAATGTTATCCATCATTGTGATGATGAATGCCTTTTTAGGATTTAATAAATATTAATGTGTTAAATATTTAAGGTCTGTGGGTAAAAATGTAGGCTCGTGGAAAAAAATTCCTCACTTAGAAAATTTTTTTAACTCCCTATTTTTGGCACTCTCATAAGCACTCAACTCTAAATTCTTCCATGTTGCTAACAATCATGAGACCCCTTGCCTCGATTCCTAAGGTCTGTAGCTCCACTGGGGTAGAAAGTCATAATCATTGTTTATTTTTTCTCAGCCTGGCATCCAGGTATCACTATCTG